CACCAAATGCCCTTTCTTCTCCCAGCGTCTGGAGATGGAGTCCCTGAACTTACAGGTCTGCCTCTGATGTGACTCTCCGCAGCTTGAGCAGCTCCTGCGACACTCTCTCTGCTCGCATTTCTGCCTATCGGTCTGGAAGATGTCTTCATCTGACTCTTCCTCGCTGTCGGTCTGGGTCGTCTCACGATGTACCGGTGTTGACCTCGGGGTAGTTTGTGAGGTGGCTGGACGTTGTAGGGTCTCCGCAGCCTTGGTAGATGACTCGTGTGCCCTTACTTCATCGAGGGCGCTGGGTAGAGTCAGGTTAGGTTTTGCGAGCAACCTTTTCTGTAGGCGAATATCTCTCACGCCACAGATTAGTTGCTCCAGGAGCACATCATCGAGGTCTCGGTACTCGCAGTGCGTTGCAGCCTTACGCAGGGCAGCCATATAAGCGCTGATCGGCTCTCCTTCTCGCTGTACTCGCTGCCGGAACTTGTACCACTGGACAAACTTGGATGGTACCGTGGCGTAGTGTGCTTTAAGTGAGGTGTGTAGCACTTTCCACGATACGGTTTGGACTGGGGTTGGCTCGGAAAGTGGCTCAGCCATATCAAAATCGTCTGGCCCGCAGGGGCTCAGGAAGAGTGCCCTTTTTCTGTTGCCTGGAAGATTGTGCATGTCGCTGGCTTCCAGGGAACTCTCGAACCGGATCATGTATGACCCCCACTTCTCTCTCTCGGGGTCAAAAGGCTTTGGCGGGACATATGCAGACATCGTGGCAGTCTTGCTATGTACGAAACTCATCAGCCTGACTGAATCCGCTGCTGGTAGCTCTTTTTCAGCTTGCTTCTCGTTGCCTCAATCCCACCTTCGTCACCAGTGTTAAGTTGGGCAATTGAGGAGGCAGAAGCAAAGTAGTGCGTGACAACAGCTCTTTAATGTAGTGTGAACTTCAGCAAAAGTTACAGGCAAACAGCTCCCTTTATATACCTTGCCGGCCAGGGAGCTGACCAATCACAAATGACCCATTGTTGTTTAAATCTCCCACCAAAACTATATACATAACAGAAAAGCACCTGGATGTCCAGAAATAAAAAGAAAGGAACTGAGGTGAAGCAGGGACTGGAGGGAACATGGTGAAATGATGTGGTTGGAGGTCGAGTCATATTTTAGCTATTGGGAGAAACTTGGTATTGGCATTTAACAACAATAGCTGTGTTAAGCTCATCAGTAGTGAGAGAACACAATTATTTCCTTTACTTTTTTGCTAGAAAGTTGCTGAAATTCAGTGACCTGCTGTGAAAGTATGATGGTATGATTTGGGATGGGTGTCAAAGAACTCCAAAAGGGAGTGTGGCTTACAGGCTCCTTGATTTTTCTGCAGCCCTAGTTCAGTGAAATCCCAATCCACTAGTTTCTAGGCTTTTTTTCCAGCAGCCAGCAAGCTCCCTGCTGCCCATTGGGAGACTAAGGAGACTAAGATAGATCTATTTCAGTCTTATAAGGCCTCATCAGTTAGTTACTCTCTGATAAATGCAGGGCAACAGGCTGCTTTTCCCAATCTGCATGGAGTGGTAAGGCTGACCCTAGAGGGAGTATAGGGTCCTACAGATATGAGGGATCTCTGTCCTATATCTGGCCTGAACCATAACTGATATGGGTCCAGTCAAACTATTTCAGCTAAGGTGGTCAGTATCTGATCTCAGTAACCTTCACTACAGAAGAAAGGCTAGAAACCAGCTGATAGTTATCTAACATTACTGAATTCGAAAACGTTTTGTTAGGTCGCTATGGAACAAAGCTTCCTATAGCCCTTTTGGCATTGACTCCTTTTGTGAAGAGATGTTCACAATCTTCCTGTCTGCCCAGTTATCCAGGAAGCTAGAATGGTAAAGATCCAATCTGTTGGTGGTTAAAGACATCTTACACGTCCCTGTCTACTTTCTCAGACATAGCAGTCTGAAAAGAAACCAGATAACCTGGCAAGGCAATCCTTCAGTCACCCCACAAGGCGCTGCCTAAGTGGACCTCAGACTACAACAAATCTAGTAACTTTGGTGATAAAATATTCCCTCAACACCTCAAGTACTAAAGAGGAAGAGATATTGAGCAAATTGGTCCTGTGGCAGATGGTATTTCTAGGAATTCCGAAGGGCAGCAGGTAATCAGTACACAAGAAGGACATTTAGACACAAAGACACTCAGATCCAACCTTCTCTAGGACAGTGACTCTGGATGCAGATAAGGTGTCCCAATAGATCAAAGCCACAGCCCCAGCATTGAAAGACCTGAGGACATTACAAGACCTGAAATTCATGTAAACAAATTTCCAAAAGAACCACATCACCATACTTTCTCAGCTAAGTTAGTTTACTTTATTGTCATTGCACATGGTACAACGAAATTAAATGCCGTCTTCAATGTACATTATAACTATAAACATAAAAACACAAACATACATCCTTTACATTCTATATAATTGAAATTGAAAACCCGATATTGCACTATACAGAATTCAATATGGTTATTGCCCTGGGATAGAAGCTGTTTTTCAGCCTATTTGTTCTTGTTTTTATTATCCTGTACCATCTGCCAGATGGTAATAATTCAAAAAAAGGGTGCCCAGGATGAGATGGATCTTTAAGAATGTTTTGAATTTTCTTAAGGCAGCGGGAGCTATAAAGCTCTTCCAAAGAGGGAAGAGGACAACCAATGATCCTCTGGGCAATGACATTGACCCTCTGGAGTGCTGTCCTATTTGCCACTGTGCAATTGGCAAACCATACACAGATGCAGTAAGTTAAAATACTCTCTATGGTGCAGCAGTAGAAGGCCACCAACAGTTTTTCATTCAGTTGTTGTTTCCTGAGAAGTCTCAGGTAGTATAATCTCTGCTGGACCCTTTTGACCAGTGCTGCAATGTGGGTGCCCCATTGCAGCACTGGTCCTCTTTTATGATAACACCCAGAAACTTAAAACTGTTCACTTGCTCCACTTGGTCTCCATTGATAAGCAAGGGCTGGATGTCTGATCTATTCGTTCTATAGTCCACTATAAGCTCCTTGGTCTTATTTCTGTGATCCATGTGAGCTCTGCCTCCTCCCATCAATGGCCAGAAAAAAGAAAGGGAAAATAGAGAACGCTACATCACCACACCCCAGACATGAGTGCCACTGACATCCACTGCAGGCAAAAGCCTACCTCCCACCCAAATAATTGGGCCCCTATTTGATTACCACAGGCTGATGCATTAAGCTACAGAGATATAACAAGCCATCCCTGGAAAGAAGCAGCTAACCCTGTGAGGCAGTAACATCATCCCATATATTGAGCTCTGTTTCCTTCCTCTTACAATCTGCATCTTGTCTCTTAAATGTTTGTAATCATAGTTACTGATACCATGTTATCCAAACATTTGATAAGTTTACCTCTAGGGATTCTTTAGGTGAACATATCCCACAATACTTACTTATTTCTCTTTGCTAGAGTCAATATTTTATTTGCAAACATATGATCAGTTGAGCCACTATTATCCCTAGTTGATCTTTAAGTGGGCAGAACAAGCATATTAAAAATGTGCAGGTGTGCGATTATAGTCTTGCAGTTGTATTTGTTTTCTGATGTATTTTTTCTTACATGCATTCCACACATTTATATTGACACACACAGCGTGTAAAACACACACAAAACAGAAACAGAAACTTTGGTATTAATGTAGACGAAAAGTATACTGGTTTACATATATATTCATTTCTTTTGATTAAATGTGCTATTTAAAATCTAAATATATACAGTAGGGAGGATGCTATTGGCTAACTGTGTTTCAATGTGCAATAGAGGAAAGAAATATTGTTATTGAGATCAACTACTACATTGCAACAGTGCTGCATAAATCATTGCAATAGGGTCCTTGAGAATCTGCAGGATAATATACTAAGCATCTCTTTCTGAATTGTTAAAACAAATATACTTTTTTCAGATGCATGAATACGTTACAGAAGCTTTTTTCTTTCCAATAAGTCCTTTGAAGGAGCTCCTTCTAAATCTCCAGGAGGAGATTACAGGAAGAAATACAGCTATTTTGAAAGAGATGCTTCATATGCGTGGTACTATATGCAAATCGATTGTCATTGCAAAGAAATGTTCTGCTCCTTCTCAAACGCATTTGCCAATATAAAATGTATAATTTATTTATTTTAAGTGTTTTATTATATTTTTTGTATGGCCACCCATCTCATGGCAGTGATTCAAGGCACCACACAAGTTTAAAAACAATTCAACAATCCAAACCATAAAATCTGAGATCACAAAAAAAACAAAAAAACACCAACCCATCTTAAAACACAACAATTTTAACTAGTAGAGCTATAACATGCCATACCCCGATGCACTGTTGGGAAATTTATTAAAAGAAGGAGATCAACAGATTTTTTTTTCACATGAACTAAACAATCTCAGTGGCTAGAAAACAGCATATTCAAAATATTCCCAATGCAAAAATGCTAGTTAAAGTTCACAGATTTTGGAACATTTTAGATTAACTCAATTTGCTAAACTAAAGCCAAATAAATTACAGGTAATCTTCAATTTACGACAACTGAGCCCAAAATTTCTGTTGTTAAGTGAGATATTTATAAAGTGAATTTTGCCCCATTTTACGACTTTTCTTGCCACAGTTATTAAGTGAATCACTGCAGTTGTTACGTTAGTAATACGGTTGGTAAATGAATCTGGCTTCCCCGTTGACTTTGCTTGTCAGAACGTTGCAAAAGGGGAGCACAAGACTCTGGGGCATTATCATAAGCATAAATCATAAGCCAAGCACCTGAATTTTGATCACATGATCATGGGAATGCTGCTGGGGAAAATGGTCATGTCACTTTTTTCAGTGCTGTTGTAACTTTGAACGGTCACTAAATGAACTGTTGTAAGTCAAGGACTACCTGTACGTGGTTTTGCATGAAGTAGGAATTCAGTCATGCTATGGTGGTGTTTTCAGATAAAAATCATCAACAAGATTTGGTTTTCATTGTCGCTTTATAACTCTTGTTTGACAACTATCACATTTACCTAGAAAGTAGATAAAAAACGATCCTGCAGCCCTGAAAATGAAACATTAAAGCAGATTAACAAACCACTCTTTTTCTGACTCTGCTACATTAGTGTAAATTAATCAAAACTTTTTATTTTAAAGATAATTTGGGGAAAAGTAACATTCAATACAGTGCCACATTCAGTAATAACTACCAGGCTACTTTGTGACCAATAACAGAATAATCATAATTGGTAAATATTCCTATTAGCTATATATACAAATAGCTCCTATTTATATTACTTACCGTTATATAAGACAACATAGTGGGACTAATTTATTCATTTATTTATTCATTCAATGTATGCCAGCCAGAAAAGTGAAATTCTTGGCAGTTTTCAATACAGCAGTAAACAATACAATATCCATAGTTCAATAAATAAAAATAAAGTGAATATATGAGTAACACAGTAAAAATGTTAGCAGAGAAAACAAAATGAATATAAGCAGCAGTAAACATATAAACATGGTGAAAAATTGAGAGAATTACCAACATTAGTTCATAATGCAAATATTCTCTACATTAATCTTTTTAGTAGCTTACAGAAAACTATTAAAGAAACTGGAAACTTGTTGAATTACTCGGCAAAGGAAATTACATATTTTAAATTTAAATTTAGTGATTAAGAGGATATTATAACCATACAATACATTCCAGTTTACAGAACATGCAATAATTCAATATAACTTTATAAAAATTAGTATTTCACATTTCAGTGGTGTGGCAAAACATTATGGAGAAAATCAAAGCCTTTAGGGCATCTCAAATATAAATATAATTATATACAAAATAAGTTTGTATGTTGTATGAAAATTAAGTCATGGCAACTTGACTTATTTTTGTAACAAAATTAAAAGTAATGATTAATTAAAGATAATTCCAGTTGCCATGACTTAATTTTCAGACAAGTCTACTTAGATGATTGAGAATGTTCATCAACATGCAACATACAACAAAAAATACAACAAATGTATTTTTTCCATTTAAAATAATTCATAATTCATGTTACATGATAAATAATGGCAAGTCAATGAACTTATGGTAAATTTTGTTAGATAAATTTGAACACATGAAGTATATCCAAAAAATATTCATAGAGTTGGTGTTTACTTCAGACACTAGACTGTATTTTAAATTTGTCCACTCAAATTAGGTAGATACAGACTTCTGCCCAATACAACAATGTATAACACAGAAGCTATACATCTTTTAATGATTCCATAATTATGATAGTTATTTGGGTCAAACTAGCTGTCTTCCTTCCATCTGCAACAATTCCACAGAAGGTAAATTTCCCATTCACCATTGCCAAAGGATTTATTTCATATCATAAGTTTATTTGTCAAGCATATATAAGATAACAGGTAAAAGTATAAACATAATTTGAATACATGAAAAGAGTAAGTAAAAAGGAATATTAGGACAGGGATGGTAGGCACGCTGGTGCACTTACGTATGCCACTTACAGACCTCTTAGGAATGGGGTAAGGTCAATGGTAGACAGTTTAAGATTAAAGTTTTAGGGGTTTGGGGAAGAAACTACAGAGTCAGGTAGTGCATTCCAGGCACTGACCACTCTGTTACTGAAGTCATATTTTTTAATTTATATAATATATTAAGTCATATATTTCTTGCTTGATTCTCCTTTCTACATTAGTTACAAGAAAACAAACATTTTATCTTTCCTTATTTGAGCTTCTAGAGCGTTGATATTCTTAAGTTGATTCACATTCCAAAGTGAAAGGGTGGACATTTTGAAATTATCACTTGAACTGCTCACAATTTCCAAAAGATATAAGAGCCAAATTAATTATTCTTAAATAGTTGGCTTGAAACATTTCCTTTTTCAAATACATTCTGTTCATTCAATGTACAGTATTCACTGCATCCCAAGAATTTTTTTTATGAGCAGATAAGGCACTTAAAAAGGGATGGTGCTGGTTCATCTTTGGGTTTGCCTTTTCATAGAAACATGCACTTTCTCAGTAAACATATATATTAAATATTAGGGTTCTATCATAATATGTGCATAGGATTTATCACATAAGATAGATTTCAATGATAGCTTGAAATAACTGATAAGAGTAATGCTTCTAAAACTTAGAATTTACCTGAAGTAGCGTTTCCTATGAAGATTGCTATATCTATACCCATATCCATATCTACAGCATTTCTCTTATATCCAATAGAAACAAAATAATAACTATACCATTAAAAAAATAGCTTAGTGATTACATTACTGTATTATTGCTTCTGTTTTAAATATTCTTCAGTGATCAACATGCATCTATTCCACATGGAAAGGATTATTTGTATCAAATCAATTCAATATAATTTTATCCAATACCTGCACAGATGATTAATACAAAACTACACACACAGAGAGAGACATATTTTCAGCTGGGATGCAATTTTGTCTAAACTTCTCTAGTTTAAATTCATCACCAGTTAAGTAGTCAGCTAACAAAAACAATTGGATTCAAAGGATGCAGTTTCTCTGAGAAAAATGCCTCTCATTACTCCAGGAATTTACAGCCTGAGTTTTTAAGAAGATAATTTGCTTTCCCGATAAATCAGTTTCCATGAACAGGATTAAAATATAGTATAGCAATTCAGAAAGCCGATTTTAATCTATCAAAATGCTTAATTAATACAGATTCAAAGTTGACATTAGTCCATAGAGATTGGCTTTTATTATGTATGGTATAACTTTATTGATACACTTCAAAGACAAGTTTAACATAAGTGATACCTCCAGTCTTTTTTTAAAAAAACAATCCAATTATCCACAGCTTTGTCTAGGTTAATCAGTCTGTCAGATGTAAAGCCATGTGAAATTACAAACAAGGTAAACTGCTCAATGATAGGGCAAATCTTTATCATAGATACTTAAGAAAGAAAAATGACAGCATTAGAGGACAAATTCTGGCTCCAAATATTAATTATCTACTTTCTACATCTCTTCTTGAAAGTCTCAAGTGATGAAGCTCTCACAACTTCTGAAGGCAAGCTGTTCCATTGGTTGATTGTATTCACTGTCAGAATATTTCTCCTTATTTCCAGGTTGAATTTCTCCTTGTTCAGGTTCCATCCATTAGTTTCCACACATTCAGTTTTCATCAATCTAATAGGAACTTCTGTTTGTTTGTTTGTTTGTTTGTTTGTTTGTTAAATTTGCATGCTATCATAATCATAAGACTCTTAGTGGCTAACAAGATACAAAAATACAATAAAATATAAAAAAACTTAAGATAAATCCAGCCCAAAACAAATCATTGACATCAGGCCTAAAACACTGGGAAAAAATCACTTTTAGTCTTTTCTGAAAGGCTGCCAACATTGGATACAAATGGATATCCATTTGGTCATTCCAGAAGATCAGCACCATCACAGAAAAAACAGTCTTTCGAGAATTTGGCTGTCCTAACATCTCAAAAATGGGGAGAAAACTGGCTGTTTTCCTGTCATGAATGCAATAGTTGAGCTGACTCTAGTGAGACTATTAGTCCTGCAGATACTAGGCACCAGTCATAAAGGCTTTATAGATTCATACCAGCACTTTAAATTTAATTTGGAAGCCAGTAGGAAGCTACTGCAGGGTCCATAAATCAGGTATAAAATATACTGAACTATCAAGTCCTTGAACACTATGGCCACTGCATTTTCCACCAGCTTGCAGTGTGTTGCACTAGTCTAAGTGAGTGGCAATTAGAGTGTCAGTTGTTTAAAGAGTGGATCAGATCAGGCTTGATATCCTTGTACGGTTCTTGATATGTCATCAACCAAAGCAACCAATGGCATCTATGTTCTCCATTCAAACCTGAACTCTGATATGAGTGCCAATAAACTGCATCATCTAAGACATGTCAAACTCACATCATCACGGTGATGTCACGTAACATATCGGGATTTTTTTCCCTTTTGCTAAACCGGGTGGGGGCGGAGCCAGTATGTGATGCATCCAGCCCGTGGGCTGCAAGTTTGACACCCTTGATTGAAGGTGTTCATTCATTGGCTCTGCACCACCACCACCACCTTACCACAAAGAGTAAATTGAAGATCAGGCAGTAGCTGTCTAATCCCTGTGGATCCAGAGACAGCTTTTTAAGGAAAGGGAAGACCAATTTTTCCTTAAGGCTGCCAGCATCAACCCTTCCTGCAATGAGGCATCTAAATAATAACTAGGAAACTCAATCCACTCTTAGTGAATTGAAAGCTACACTCTTGTATAGATCTTTATTTAGTGAGGATTATTATTATTATTAGTGAGGTAGGTGGATTGATTCTTTTTTATGAATTCCTTTTATATTCCCTACTCATTTTCTGATCTTTTCCTGCTTAATTTACCCTGGAACTATTTTCAATTGTCTATTTTGTGTATGTAACCTTTCCTCCCTCTTATCCTTGACTATTCAAAATCAGAATAATGGAAAGAGAAGCATCTAATTATTCTGAACATGGAGGCAGCATTCATAACTCACAATGTTTTCTCTGTCTTCAGGAAATGCTTTTAATAAACCATTCTAAAGGGATTAATATTGTTTACTCTTCAGCACAGCTTGAAGTTGATCTTATGATATATCCTCCAGGCTTTTCCTAGTTCCTGAAGAAATTTCAGCCATGTCAGCTTCATATAACTTAGAAAATCAACTCAGGTATAACTTGTGAAGTACATAAGTGGCTAGAAGTGCCCAGAGGAGAAAATTTTACCAAGCATATAAAATGGACTTTAATATCGCATCACAACTTTTGGGATGCATTTGTCTAATTTGTTTAAAAGCTGATAAACTACTTTTTTTGGTAGAAGTATTATAATCAAAGGACAGAGATGTAAGTACAAGAATTAAACAAATATAATCATTTTACATCTTGATTTTTTTATCATCCCTTCCTAGACATATTACTAGCTTTTAGTTTTTCTTCATTTGGATGTCTTACTCACTGATAATGAACATTCTCTTTTGCAACATCTCTCTTGTAAATTGTTTGTGACAAACATCTATAAAGCC